GAAGTATACTTCACTAAAGCTCTCCGTGGCCATTTCATTTGTCGCCGAGAATCCAATCCGATTACACGACATTTGAAAAATGGCAAAATGGAGGGAAAACTCAAAGGTGGGGTTGAGATGGGAAGTTAGTGTCCGAGTGGATCGAAGTCACGATAGCTCAAGTGGTAGAGCAGCGCCGTATCAAGCCGAAGATCGTGGGTTCGAATCCCGCTCGTGCCATTGACTTTTTTATCTCAACTAAAACCTTAATTAATTGTAATATAGTAATTGGTCAAGCGGACCACGAAATTAGTGAAATTAACATTAATAAAAGTTCCCTAGTTTTCGTGGTCCGCTTGACCAATTAATATACGTCTTTCGACTTAGACCGTCTGCATCAGCGGAACTCTCGATGAACGAAAAATCTTGCGATTGTTTCAATTTCAGATATCATTTAAAACTCAAAAGGCATAGTTAAAATGAATAAGAATATTAAACGGAAAGCATATTTTTTAGTAAATATGCTAGATACTCTTCATCAATTTTGCTAAACTTTGCAGCAAATATCAAATAATTTGTACTTTTATTAGATTGTTTAAAAATTGTTAATCAAAAAAACAATTCCCTTTCTGTCCTCCATGGGTTAAGAGCTGTTTATTTGTAATTAAGAAAATTTGGTGTGCACACAATTTAAGTGAGTAAATTTTATATTTTGACGTCAAAAAACTAAAAATAATAATAGTATTTTAATTTAAAAACGGGTTGTCACAAAAATATATTTGATAAAGAAAACTAAAAGAGATAGCATTTGANGAGTAATCCTGTAAACGTAAACAGAATATTTTATATAGATTTTTTTAAATGAAAACTTAAAATCCTGCATTATTTTCCGGACAACCCAATAATTTTAATATTTACCTAAGCCATGAAATCAACCCCTCCATCTTTAGGACGTCCGTACCTTAGTATTTCGATTATTCGACGTTGATTTTTTCCAAAAGGAAGGAACTATAAAATCTGACAATACACTCAGCTGTTGTCAATAGTCATAGCTTAGAATGAAACATTCCAGTAGTTGTTTTAAATTATTTCCGTTAAATTTATAACTTAACGCTTGAATAAAATTAACTGAATGAATGAGTTAACAAGGTGTATGATAGACAGTATTTATAAAATTTATCGATTTTTTTATTATGGAACAAACGATGTAATGCCACAAACATCTGTTTTTTATACTACTATTTCTTCAAATTTCTGATATGTTAAAATTATGTCCATTCACATTAACATTAATATATTACATTTAATTAAGGTTTTTAGTTGAGATCAAAAACTGAAAAATGAAAAATGGCAAAAAGGAGGGAAAATTCAAAAGGTGGGGTTGAGATGGGAAGTTAGTGTCCGAGTGGATCGAAGTCACGATAGCTCAAGTGGTAGAGCAGCGGCGTATCTAGCCGA